GTTTTTTATATAATTTTAAATTTGTAGTAAATTATATTTTTAACAATAATTTTTAAAAATCTTAATTTAATTACGTTGGACTTGTGGAGTTTCTAATTTAAACCGGTTTTATTAATTAATTTTCTTGAAACATAAAAGAAGTTAACTAATTTTAAAAATATAGCTAATTTTAGATGACGATATAGATTAATATTATTGGCTGTTTTAAAATTTGAGAAACATGAGATGATGATATAGATTAATACTATTAGTTGTTTATGTGGACCAGTAAGATGCGGTTTTATAATCCTATGTGTACACTCTTAAATGTATTTAGCCTCAAATTTTATATTAAAAACATATTTATTAAAAAAGTATTAATTAATCACTTTAAACTTGGGAATTTCTAATTTAAACAGATTATACTAATTAATTTTCTTGAAACATAAGAAAGAAATTAACTAATTTAACAAATATAACTAATTTTGTATGATGATATAGATTAATACTATTGATTGTTTAAAATTTGGAAATTTCTTAATTTTATATGATTATGTGGAATGATACTATTGGTTGTTAAAATTTGGAAAATTTCTTAATCTTAAAGTGCCTATGTGGACCAATAAGATTACGTCTTAAAATCCTATGTGGACGCTCTTAGAGGCTTATAGCCTCAACTTTTATATAGTATATAGATTTGTTTGTATAACTTTAAATCATGTTTCTTTGATTTAATTAACTTTATTTCTTTCACTTAGAAATCATTCGTTAGTTCCTAATCGAATTATTCTCATATACTATTGTTTATTCACTGGTCATGGTGGTACTCATTAATTAATTAGAAATAGTCTATAATCGAATACTGAAGCATGTCGTGATAATAATTGATCATTTCCTGCTGGTATTAACATCATATTGATAAATACGTGATTTGATTTGTGCCTTGTTGCTCCGAATGAATTTGAAATTTCTTCGTTAATAAAGACCACCATATTTAAGGATTGACTTATTATTTTCTGGCTTATATTGCTTATTGATTTATTGCTTGGTTTGGTTTCAACTTAACTAGTTTAGACAATTGTTGTTTTGTGTACACAATGTCCATCAATTTGATTAAGTTTGTACTACTTTGACTCATCTTAAGCCAAGCAATTTATTATCTAGGTTGAGAATCTTTATTTTGCTGATTGATTCACTTTGTTTGGTTAAAATTTTGCTGCTGCAGTATGTTATAAGTCGTGGAGTTCACTATACAAGTAATCGTTTTTAGATTGCCGACCTAAAAGAAGAATGATCTAGTATATTTATATATGTCATAGCAACTTTCTTATATGACTTTAGTTACACATTCGCTTGATACATTATAATCATAGAGTTATTCGTTAATTCGTTGATGCATTATACTCTTTTCGTTATATTTTAACAATGAGTCAATTGTTGGTTTAATTGTTATATCAATGGTATTCACTGTGAGTTTATGATGTTGATACTAATGGCTATAAAAGATCCACAAATTCTTTAAAATAGTTTAAAGAAAAAAAATTATCACCAGAAGTGATATGATCTGAAACATTAATCTAAAGAAAAAGATTTATCTAAAGAAAAAGATTTATCACCAGAAGTGATATATCACCAAAGTGATATGACCTAATAGAGTAATCTAAAGAAAATTATAGTATTAAGATCATATAAACTTGAAGTTTATAAGTGGAAATAATACTACTAATACAAATGTGTTAAAAGAAATCAAGAAAACATTGTTGTCCTAGACACAATAATATAAATACTGAGTATTTTATAAAACATTGTTGTCCAGTAGACACAATAGCAAAGAAATTCTTAATGATTTTTAATCTATTATTTTCTTTTAAAATTAAATTTGTCACCTGAAGTGATAATAAAATAGTACATGTTACTAATATTAATTGTTATTATCATGTTTTACTTATATATTTATGTAGCTTGATAATATTTATTTATTTTATATTTTATATATTTAGTATTTGCATCAAAAACCACATGACCTGAAGTCTATAAGTGGAGATAATAAATATTATGAAGATGTTAAAATACATCAAGAAAATTTTGTTGTCTTGCAGACACAAAAAACATTATCACCTGAAGTGATAATATAATTTGAGAATTTATTCAAATTATATCTTATCTTTCTAATTTTATTTTAAACTAAATTTGTCACCAGAAGTGATAATAAATGGTATATATTATTAATATTTATTTTGATTATGCTCTATTTATTTATATATATACTTATTTTTATTTTTATTTTATTATTCTCTATATGATATCTTAAATTTTCATGAAAGATTACAAGACCTGAAGTCTGTAAATAACTTTTAACTATATAGAAGATAATGTATATCAATAGAGATGCTAAAAAGCATACTCTAAATAATATTGTCATATTGTCTGTAGACAAAATAATCTTAGACAATTTTACATTATTTTGAGAAAATATTGAATCATTGATGAAAATCATATCCAATTGGTTATGATCAATTCCCTGAAGTGAATGTGATATACAAGTAAATGGTTAAAGAGGTTATTGATTTTATATTGGAATTCAATTCGAGATAGATGAACCTGAAGTATCATCATCTCGAGGGGGAGAATGGATGAATCCCACAATCAATAATAAATGGAACATCTAGAAGATTATGTTCACACTCAAGATAAACTTGATCATTGATCAAGAAAAGTATAAGAATCCCTAATTCATAATCCAGAAGATTATATTCAAAGATAAATGATCCTCATGAATCATATATTTTGGTTATACAGTAAACCAGAAGTTTACCGAATATAATATAATTTGGCATGAACTGGTTAGACCATTCCAGTTCAAGATATTATGCGAAGTAAAATACAACATGTAGACATTTGTTGAAGAACTAGAAATTCTTCTAATGATTTCTAATGTGATATTTATCATATGAGATTATGATAATACAATAATTATCACTAGCCAAAATAGATTTTGAGTCTATTCATTTTCTAGAGAGTATACAAGAACATATGTGGTTTAATAACCATTCGTGGACTAATCATCCTCTAAAGAAATTTCATGTATGTATTCATATTATAAATCTGCAACCTGAAGTTTGCAAGATTACTTAGTAGTGCTAGTGAATCACATCTTAAGTCTTGGTGAAAGAAAAACATGTTTGTAAGAATATGAATACACATTGAACATCCAGTAGATAATGTTCATACACAAAAGCATTAATTCGCATAAAGCCAACAAGTAACTTAAAAGTTCTCCCCATCAAAATTGGTTTTGGGTCAGAAACCTTTGGATGTGCAACATCCACATTGCTCCACCACAGCAATATAAGATGGATCTTCAAAGAGATTGTAGATGTTGGATATGAATCTCCATTGATAATATCTAGAGCTATCCCTGAAGGATTTAAGTAAGGCTCGATTTATAGACTACCATGTTAATGGATAAGTCTTTCCAACATCAGGGGGAGAAATAAAAGGCTGGAAAGAAAAGTAGTTTGAATGAATTATCATTGATCCTCGGACTATAGAATGTGAAATAGAAGTCCAAAAGATAGTTCATTCACAAAACTTATTGTATCAGTTGCCAGATACATTTACTGACCCAAATATAGTGATTGAGTCACTTACCAGCTGTAAATGCTCTAATAAGAATTGATGTCCCAGAAGGACAATATCAAGCTGCTAGTGAGTCTAAAGAACGCATGAAGCGTGATAGACTTGTCGGTTCCAAATATTATAATCCTCGAAAAAGTAAAAGAGCATAAATTGACAATGGTCAAACCGAGGAAACAAATATTTTTGAGTGATCTCCAGAAGAGACATTAAACATGACAAATAAGAAATTCAGGTACCTGAGACAATGATGAGATCTCGAGAAATTACTTATGTCATGTATAGAATAAATGGAACCAGAAGCAAATCGACGTCGTAAATAATATATTTGCATGCAATGTAGCAGTTGATATTATGAATGAGAAAGAGGATCATGAAACAAAGTCTATTGCATTGTGTACACAAAGTAATGATTTGGCCAAATCGAAAAGAAGCAATAGACTCAAAACAAAATCTCTTAGAAAGAGAAAGTATTTGGACCAGAAGTCCTTTCACCTAAAAAGTGTGAAACAAGTGAGTTATAAAGGCAAAGAAGAATGAGTATGAAGAGATATACTCTCATGTGGTGGATGCAACTTTCAAGTTCATTAAGTCTGGCAATGAAAGAAGAACTTGACTTATACAACTCACTAAACAATGACATTTATATAAAAGTCCCTGAAGGATATAATCATTGAAGAATTAATGATATAATCGTTATGTTCCCGGAGAACATTAGCTATTCAATCAAATGAATAGAAATATATTCATGGATATACAAAGTGAATATATAAAGCTAACAATACCCATGTATATTTAACAAAAGAGATTATAGTCATGAAACTAAACATCGAAATTCCAAAGCATTTTCGAAATTAGTATCACAAGGAGATGGGATAAAAGATCTTGGAAAGACAAAGTTGTCTTAAGATATCCCAAATTCCCAGAAATGTTATGGCATGATTTACATAAACAATGCTCACATATATTTGGTCCTGAAGTACCATACTTCAAATGCTATTTGAAAAATATGTTAGTCTCTTTCATAATTGAAAATGAGCAAAATGAGCATGAGATTATATATACAAGATAGATTTTACAAGAATGTATATAAAAGAGAAAATTTGGCCAGAAGTCCAAATGATTGTTTATAGAAAAAGATGTCATAGACTAAAAGTCTAAATGACTTTCATCAAAGTTATACTTATAGTAATCTCCAAAAGATAGTATTGGAATGCATCTCCTGAAGAAGATGCTTCCAAGGGGGAGAATATGATGATATGTGTGGTTGTACTCTTTTTCCTTATCATGGTTTTTATCCCATTGGGTTTTTCCATGAAAGGTTTTAATGAGGCAACAAAGAACACACAAATGAGAAACATCTAAAGAAGTCTTGTCATCTATTTATGAGATCAAGTGAAGCAAGGAGATTGATCAAGATGAATCATCTTGATCCATGCACCAAGAAGAATGGCGATGTCAATGTTCTAAAGACTGTTCAAGTGAAGATTTTAAAGGAGTTTCCATCTGCTATTATCAAGAAGTTCATTCACCTAATCTACACGGATGTTCTCATGAGGGGGAGTAGTTGCGCGCTGTACTCTTTTTCCTTAACTAAGGTTTTTCCCTTTGGGTTTTCCTGGTAAGGTTTTAACGAGGCAGCATCATGCGCACTTAGAAGATATTTTTAGATAATGGACTTCCAAGGGGGAGTGTTATAACTAGTTTATATGGAAGCCCATTATCGGCCCATATTCTAGAATGTTCTAGCTTGTTCTCCAAGTGTATTCCTCTCCAAGGAAAACCCTATATTGTAATCCTATATACTCATTATGGAATAAGATACAACCAATTCCTCTTCTCTTGTTCTCTCTTCTTACTATAACAATAAGAAGATATTGATGTTAGTTGACCCAAAAGAATTGAAAAAGAATCAGTTTAAACCGTAATAAGAAGATATTTCGGTTTAAACCGGTTAACGCGGATTAAACACCCAAAACTATCAAGACCTAATCAGACCCGATTTGCAAAAGTCTGTCTTCTCCGATATGCTGAAAATGAGACTTATGACATCGGCCGCCGCTGAACTTTCCCGACGTGGGGCTCTTGGAGACGGCCGAGCTTGGTGGACGCCGTGGAGGAGTGAAATCTCCTCTCTGTCGCTTACAAAAACGTGATCGGAGCTCGCCGTGCCTCGTGGAGGATCATCTCCTCGATTGAAGGAAGAGAGCCGCGGCAACGTTGACCACGTCAACACGTTCCGCGATTACAAGACGAAAATCGAGTCGGAGCTATCCGGGATCTGCGACAGGATCCTCAAGCTGCTTGAATCTACGCTCATCCCTTCCGCTACTTCCGAGGACTCCAAGGTCTTCTACCTCAAGGTGAAGGGCGATTACTTCAGGTACTTGGCCGAGTTTAAGATCGGCGCCAAGAGAGAAGCCGCCGCCGATAGCACCCTCTCTGCCTACGAGTCTGCTCAGGTTTGTATTTCTAATCTCAGATCTACTCGAATCTGTGCTTCTTTTTATAATGTTTCATTGATTTGGTTTCAACATACAATATCTTCTGCTAGATTTTTGTTATATTGCAACAATTACATTCAATGGTTCATGGATGTGCGGATTTGGTATTGCGATCTGGTTGATTAGCTTTAAGATTTAGTAGTTGATTCTGCTTACGGTTTATCCTGTGGATCTTTGAAATTCTTCAAACAATTATTTTGGCCGCAATGTGGAATACAATATGTCGTATGTGTATCACGCTATGTATGGTTCATGGATCGTGATAACATCGCTCTCAAGGGTCTTGCCAAGTGAGTCTCTGGTTATTCAAGAGTGTTGATTGTTGCTAGGCCTAATTGTTGATGTTTTCTGTTTTTTTGTTTATCCATAGTGAATTGTTGGTTTCTCGGTGTCTAGCAGGAGAATAAAACAAAGACGAACATGAAAAGAAATCCAATGGTGTAACCAATGAAGTAAGATTATTCACCATTTATCGTTCAGTTTTCAAACTCAGCTGATCAAGTAGAAGATGTTTGCAACAAAACAATCCTGCCTTAAAAAGTTGTAAGTCAAACATAAAATGAACTTAGATCTTCTTTGATTATTTGTGGTACCCTTTTGCTTATTGACTGACTACTATTTAATTACTATTATCCTCAACTTTAGTTCGTGCTACAACGTTCAGCTTCGTTATTTTTACTTGAATTGTAAGAACACAGAAACTTCTCCTACTAAAGGATATAACGTACCTTTGCACATGAATAACAACCTATGCGAATGATTTGCCATAAATGTTAAAAGTTGGCGAAAAGTATCAACTTGTATTTGAAAAGAAAAAAAAAAAGAAAAAAATAGTGGGTGAATTAGTCAAATAATAGTGCAAAAAGCAGAACCGAGAAAATTGGCCCTCACACTTTTTCTTTTGGATCCACCAACTTCTACTCATGTCTTTATCTTTGGCAAGAGTTATTTTATTTTATGTCTTCTTAGAAGGAACTAGTGTAGATCTGTGGGTTCCCAAATTCGAATCACTGTATGTTCATCAACTTCACATCATTTCATCTCAAAGTCTCATTTTCACACTCTCTCTTGTAAAACACACAAGGAATAGAGTTGTTACAAAGAAAAGTTTAATGATCTTTGGCATTTAATGATCCTTGGAAAGAATATAAAGAAAAGTTTTAAATCTTTTCTATACATACTTAATGCTTAAATGAAAATGTAAAATACATCAACAATCAAGGAAAGAGAAGCCTTTGGTACTTGGTCTCTCTTTTGGAATTAGACTCGTCACAGTGAACCCTCTTCCTGTTTAGATTGTTGCCACAACTATTTTGTGACAATGGTGACCCTTCATGAATAATCACCGGTGGAATCTCAAAGGACCCAAGCTGAGGTGGAGGATGACGCCATTGTGGAAGCTGTCCAGCCAAAAGCAGAGTCTGTAGCAAAGGCCCTGCTTTCAAAACCGCCTTTAAAAGCTTCCCTTTCTCCGGTAACATACTCTCCGGAAAATCTAACTCGATTTGCATCGGTGGGTCAAAAGATGAGACAATGCTTTCTTCCCCATCCGATGAGTGAAACCCATTGATGTTTGGGTCTTGTTCTTCAACAGTTTGGTGTTGAAGGATGGGGTTTTGGTCAAGAAGAAGCTTCTTGTATCTCTCTTGTGCTTCATCTTTCTCTTTGATAGCTTTGTTGAGGAGATCTCTAAGCTGAAATATCTGGTCGTCTTTGGTATTGAGTTCTTCTTGGGCCACCATTCTTGTTTGCTCTAGCTCCATTGTTGTGTGCAGAAGTGAATGTCTTAGCTCTTCTATTGTCTGCCCACCAAAATAATTAACAGTTGAGTTAATTAAGCAATCAAACTTAGTAAATTCACTTGAAGAAGAATGTAGAATGGTGTTTAATTTTACCTTTATGCCACACTGGTTTTGTTGAACCCAGTTAAGTAGATAATTCTGTTGTCTCTCCATCTTCTTCAATGAATCGATTCTAGAGTGTGTGAGAGAGAGAGAGTTATATATGACTTATGATGAGTGTATTGGTTGTTGTCATAGTTATAAGCAAAAAACACTGGTTTTATTTTTAGTGGGTGTTTTTGGGGTATTTAATGATTGCTTTTAAATTGGTCACTAGAGGTTGGGACAAAACTCAAAAATGTTGAAACCTTTCTTCCATCAAAGAGAATCTTTGTTGACTTATTTCTACGCTTTTTTTTTGTTTCTACAACAAATACAGAAGGACATAGAGAGAACGCGTTAACGGTAATTATGATTAAAATCACAATCCGACAGTAAAGTATATCGTTCTTCTTTTTATAACCTAAAGTATTATCATTCTTTTATTCCATGAACATCTTCGACTATATATTATTAAACAAGTATCATTGTTTTCTTCTACTATTGTAACCTCCCTTGGACTTTTCTGCGATCACATGCACTATACCCCTTATATATATGATAACAAGGTTAAACTGTGAATTTTAAAGAAAATTCGTGTTCATTCACGGTTTTTCTAATAGAATAAAACTCAAAACTTATCAAGGATATTCTTAGTGGTTATTGATCAATCATTATGGTTTAGTATCCCTATTTAAAAAAGAGCATGAAAACAACATCTCAACCAAATAACCATGGTTTTTTACTAATGGAATATTATATACTTAGTCTGGAAATTCAAATATAAGCGGATTCTTTTGAAAACTAGTATAACATTCATCTTGTATACGACAATATACAAATAAAAATAGGACCCATTTCTGTTTCTTCTTATAAATAATTTGTGGAAGAATTTGATATCTTTTCTCTAGTAAAATTAATTTCTGAAGCAACTGGTCCCATATCTAATATTAAATTTATATACATTTGTAAAACCAAAAAAAAAAAAAAAAAAAAAAAATTATATACATCAAGGCTATTTGTGTACTCGGTATATATATACCATTAACATGCGTATGAGTCGTTGGCCACCAGCAATGGGACCCTAAAAACAAGTAAAATCTAAAAAGGAAGAGGAACTGAATTCGAGCATACTTGTCCGCACGTACACATTTTCTTTTGCCGCATGTGAATTCACACGTATGATTTTTAATATACTCGTATTCACAGGAATATGTAAAAATTCGGAATATACTGTGTGCGTGTTATGATGTGAACATGATTAGAGAAAAGTTGGTCAGCAATAGGAGGGTACTGATAACCTAACATCTTCCCTTTTGTTCTTATTCACAGTTCTCAGCTTCTTCTGCAAATTAATTCCGTTTATTATGCATAATCTGGCTTAATTTTCTTTAATATTACAAAACCTCCCAATTCCACGACAAGAAAATACTTATATGCCGATGCATGCTTAACAGTTAACAGTTTATGTTGACTATTGATCAACCATTCTTAAATCTTACACATGCTAATATTTCAAATATGTATAACCATGTCAATTGTTCTAAAAATAATTAAAAAAAAAAATCAAATTTACCAAGAAGACAACTATAATCTTTTGTGAAATCCGGTGATTAAAAAAAAGTCATACAATTTGATTGACTCTTGGAAGGAGTCCGTTTTCTAAATGAAAGTTTTTTTTTGGGTGCAAATGTGAAGAAAGTTATATTACATGGTTTGCGTATCGCTCTAGGGACAGGTTAACGGGCTCATAACCTCTGGTACTAAAAACGAAGTCATAATCTACTTCTAAATCATCATCAATTACTTTAATCAAATTCTAAATCATGTTACAAGCATTAGACGCAGACTTAAAATTAGATACGTGATGTTGAAGTGAAAGAATCTAATTTTTGGTGAAGAAGGGAAAAAAAAAGAAACAGCACATTTCAAAAGAGAGGAAAAATAAATGAAGGAGCAACCAAAAGCCATTTATGTCCCATCCCAACGGTACCCATGACGACTGTGGGATGCTTTTAGAGGGAGAAAAAAAAGAAAAGGCACTTATTGGTTGACTCCTTTTGTAATCTTCAATAGTTCGTATATTTCTTTCTTTTTCAAACCTTCCCCTGTAATTATTTCGATTTTAGGGACTAAAGCGTGTTGATTAGTGCCTAGCGGTTTCAAGAACATTAGTAAACATAAGTTAATCAAAACCTAAACTGATAAAAGAATATTGATTTAGTAACATTTACCAAAGGCAAAGATGAAATCTTTAACATAATAGATTTTTAAGTGGTATAAACCAAAACCTAATACTAATGAAACTTAAACTCTGAAAACTAACTGCTAAATTTTCAGGAGTTTCCACTTCAATTGCTTATGCATCCTTGAAGAAGATAAGCTGCTTTGGTACGAACCTATCAAGCAAAAATCGTTCAGTCAGATGAGTCAAGAAAGTTAAAAACAGGAACCAAAGTAAAAAAAAAAGATTTGATTTTGATCCACTTTCTAACTCACTTTCGATGCAAAAGGACGAAGATCGGTGCTACTGATCTGACAAGAACAGTTTCTAAGAAATACAGCCCACATATCCTTGAGTACAGGCTTTTCCTCAACCAATTTACTGGAGAAGAGCCAGTTCTCAACCAAAACCAAGAAAATGTAAGTCTTGAAAAGGTTGCAACTTTTCTCCTTCAGATTGATAGACATCAGCGAGCTCATTAATTTTTCGTCGCTATCCTGTTAACATAGAGATAATCAAGATCAGGTGAATGTATAAAAAAATGCCTTTGCTAAAAATCTTTTAACTTTGTTCATGTGTTTACCTTATGATCAAGTAAAACAACAATCATTTGATATGAGATTAAACTTCTCAGATGCTTGCTTCGAGCATCAACACCTGATACGGATTCAACTATCCTTAAACAGTTCATATCTTGAGGTACTCTGCAGGTTTCATCCTCAAACTTGCGTAAGAAAATCAACAGAGTAAGACAAATAGCTAGGGATACTATTACAAGTGTCAAACCTGGAAGCAAGAGAGTTTGCTATGTTCTTGCAGCTTGAAACCCATTCTTCCTCTTTGAATGATCCAATAACAGATATCAAACACTCTTGTAAGAGAAGTGAAAGACCTTGAAGACCACGATCTAAGAGCAGCCATACAAGGATCTCGGCTAGCTGTTCAACTTGTGAAGTCGAAAAGATTGGATTTTTACACCTGAATCAATGTATTAATAACTTTGGATCAAATAGCCATGTTAAAAGAAATTCTAAGAGCTCCACAGTTAGTACTACAGAGAAAAGACAATGTCTTTGCTATCTGTAGAAGAGAGTTTTGTGCCACAAACCTAATCTGACAACAAACTGCAACGAATTTGAGCCAAGCTCTAATGTTCTGCGGAGGAACTTGAGACTCAGAATCTTGAAGCCAAAAAAATTAGTAGATTTCAGTAGTAGATAGTCTATTACAAAACATAAAGCAAACTGGAAGCAACAGGAAACACACCTGCTTCAGCTAGTTCAACATCTTGTGATGGATTAGTTTTGAAACCGTATGATCCAAGAGCTTCCTTAAGTAGTTGATAGTTAGGAATCCAATCAATTTCAACAGGAGCTCCATCATCCTGATCAAACAACATCGTTTAGATACCAAAGAGTCGGCTTCAATCAAAACATAATGTAACCTCAGGTAACAAAAGCAGTACCTCAGTTTGTGATAACAGTATGGAACACCACAAGCCACAAGCAGATGATCTTAGATCTTCTTTTGGTGAATACAACACTAATCAATCCCATACATCAAAAACCATAAGGATATAAGCCAAAGTCCTTAGAAAAAAAACAAGAAACTTCAAGAAAGTGCGTACACAGATTAAGCGTCCATTTGCATATGATTGCTTCCACACGTCCACAAGTCAAGACCAGTTTTTTGAGCCAGCCGTTAACCAGCAATCCTTCAAGAAAGTTCGCTCCTAGATTGTACAGTGAAAGCATATTACTTTTAACCATGAGAGAGTGGCATCTTGATGAGGTCACAGAAACACTAACCATCATCTGGACTAAGATCCACCAACGAATTCAGCTGACTATTCATAAACTCTTTCAACAAGCAGCAGCTATCAAGATCATACTGTAGTGAAGATGTCGGCGTTTTCTGTATATCAACATAAAAAAAGGATAGATCTTTACTTACTATTACTTACTCTAACATAAAAAAGGATAGATGTTTACTTACTATCACTTACTCTAACATCTAAAAGGATAGATCTTTACTTACTATCAATTACTCTGAAACACAACATTTTGAAATTGAGAATAAATCAGCCTAACCTGATCTCCAAACATAGATAATCCCCATTCTTGGATATCTTCTTCCCCACCAATCTCATTCATCTGAAACCATGTAACTCAATGATTACCAGACATTCCACAGAATAACATTTTCATTGCAGACCAAAATGTATGATAATGATTTACACATGCCTGATTCTGGCATTGATCAACATATTTAGAAATCACAGCTTCTTGGCTATGTTGTTCATCATCATCTGAGTCGTAAACCTTGGATGCTTTCCGTTTCTTGTTTTGCTTGTCTATGAGCTTGCTCTTCTCTTTGTAGAAATCAGAGAGAAGATCATCCAAGCCAATAACTTTCTTCCTGGTGAAAAGAAAAAAGATTTCAAATTCACAAACTTCAGAGCTTCAATTTGAGAAAAGGACGTCGCTTTACATAAACCCTAAACAAGACCAAGTCTTTTCTTTCCACAGCGGCAGAGACAATTGACCCAATTTTTCCAGAAACAAAAGAAAACCCTAATCGGCAATGACTCGAATTTCTCTACCATGACAGCAAAACCAGAGGAATCAGACACTAGGCAAGTCTGAAAATGGTATGAAGATTGAGAATTAGGGGCCCGAGTCTTGCTATAGATGAAAAAGGATTGACCTTTTCTCGACTGACGCTGGTGGGTTAACAAGAGGATCTTCGCTCTCGAAATCAAGAGGGCCATCCAGATTCATCGTTAACTCTTTCTCTCTGTGACTCTCTCTCTCTCAAACTTGGGCTTCTTCAACCTCGTTCCTGAAACCCTGAAACTTATTGGAGCTTTGGGAAGCGCCAAGGAAGGAAGTTTTTAAAAGAGGCAGCAGCACCACAGGTTAAGTTCTGGTGAAGCCGTAACTTGGATTTTCTTCTCAAGTTTATTTTGGTTTACTTAACTAACTAAGGCTGTGAATGGTAAAGGTTAGAGTAAGTGGGAGTAAATGAAAGAAAAGTAATTGAGAGGGATGAAATAATGAAAAGTTAGAGTAAAAATGTTTTACTCCATAGAAAATGAGTGTTATAAATAACGCTGTATATGGCGTTATTGGGCGAGAAAATCATTTTGTGTTTTCCACTTGAATGGTTAATAACCAGCGTAAGTGGGAGTAAAATATATTTTTCACCTAATCTTTTATTTTAACTTGACCATCCATTCATACCCTAAAAGGTTAAACTATGCATTATCTTTACCGCATCCACATCATTTTTTAATAGACTAGAAATTCACCTCCACTATGCCATGAAATTTGATGTTGAAAAAGTTCTATTTGGTGTTAGTGAATAGGGCAATTGGAATTTATTTGGGTGTTTGCAAAAGTATACTTTTTTCTTTCCGTCAATTGTAAGGGTATATCCCCTGTAATACTTACACCTCATTTTCCCTATATCATCTTTACTTTCTCATCATATCTATGAAAATGCCATCAACTTTTCTATTTTTCATTTTTTTTAGAAAATAATAATGTCCAAACCAACTTCATCTCCTACACTTATTCACGAAAATACCATCGAATTCAATTCATCCAACAACCATTTTCAAACATATTCAAGCTTTTAATACTTCTTCTTGCCTTTTGCACCACCAAAATCCCACTATCTTCTCTTAATCTTCTTCTCTAACTAATTCTCTCCAATTTCATCACAAAATCTCTATAATCCATCTCTCAAAAATTTAAGTCCTTGAATGATACCATTTCTGGTCACCAAGCTCACGACAACGGCTAAGCTTCTCTGTTGAAGGTTTAAATCAAACCAATCCGCCGTCGACGCCACCAAACAGCTCGTCAAGGTGATTTTTCATTTTTTTTCGTGAATTTCAGACCTCCAAAGCGATGTAGTCTACAAGTCAATGCGGGGTACACTAACTGTAATTGACTTTTTCAAATTTCAGAAAAGTAGACTTCTTCAAGAAATCTACATTATTCCTTTGACAAAAAAGGTGGGCCTCATGCGTAGACTTCACTAAGAAGTTTATTCTTCGGAAAAGGTACACTAACTGCAATTGACCAGACGACAACTTTCATTGTTGAAGTCTACAAGTGAAGTCTACTCTTCAGAAGTATAGTTTTGCAATCGACCAAAACACGACTTTTTAAAGTAGACTTTTTTGTTTTCACTCTAGTCTTCACTATGAAGTATACTTTCACGTGTAAACTTCTTTGTGAAATCTATGAAGTCTACTTCTGCAAAAGAAGTCTACCGGTCAACGAATGAGTAGTAACTCGGAGTACACCAACTGCAACTGTTGTCCATACAAAGTTTACTTTTGGTAGTAGACATCACCGTGAAGTCTACTTTTGGTAATATGAAGTATGTTTTGGGAAAAGAAGTATACTTCAAAATGTCATGATTTGGTCAATTGCAGTCAGTGTACGCCTTGATTTGTTGACTTCTATTGTAGACTTCCCAAAAAAGTTGTGATTTGGTCAACTGCAGTTGGTGTAAATCCGCCGTCGACGCCACCAAACAGCTTGTCAAGGTGATTTTTCATTTTTTTTCGTGAATTTCAGACCTCCAAAGCGATGTAGTGTACAAGTCAATGCGGGGTACACTAACTGCAATTGACTTTTTCAAATTTCAGAAAAGTAGACTTCTTCAAGAAATCTACATTATTCCTTTGACAAAAAAGGTGGGCCTCATGCGTAGACTTCACTAAGAAGTCTATTCTTCGGAAAAGGTACACTAACTGCAATTGACCAGACGACAACTTTCATTGTTGAAGTCTACAAGTGAAGTCTACTCTTCAGAAGTATAGTTTTGCAATCGACCAAAACACGACTTTTTGAAGTAGACTTTTTTGTTTTCACTCTAGTCTTCACTATGAAGTATACTTTCACGTGTAAACTTCTTTGTGAAATCTATGAAGTCTACTTCTGCAAAAGAAGTCTACCGGTCAACGAATGAGTAGTAACTCGGAGTACACCAACTGCAACTGTTGTCCATACAAAGTTTACTTTTGGTAGTAGACATCACCGTGAAGTCTACTTTTGGTAATATGAAGTATATTTTGGGAAAAGAAGTATACTTCAAAATGTCATGATTTGGTCAATTGCAGTCAGTGTACCCCTTGATTTGTTGACTTCTATTGTAGACTTCCCAAAAAAGTTGTGATTTGGTCAACTGCAGTTGGTGTACCCCTTGAGTAGACTTCACGGTGATGTCTACTTCACGGAGAAGTCTACTTTCTAACTGTATTTTAAATTCGATATTTTTGCATTATGAATAACAAATTTTTAAGATTTTCTTTGATAATAAGTTGTGTTTACCTGTCTAGTTGCATGTGTAACATTTTGACGTGCTTAATCATTATATTTTGAAGGAAACCATTTTTTTTTTGGTTGAACACTAGGTGAAAATGTAATAAACTTCGTTATGATGTCTACATGTAGAATCCACCGTGAAGTGTACTTTGTTAATGTATTTTAAATTTGACATTTGTGCATTACGATTCACTAATTTTATGATTTTCTCAAACAATTAGTTGTGTTAATTTGTTTACTTGCCTGTTTATCATCTTGACGTGCTTTATCCTGTATTTTGAAGTAAATCAAATTTCTTGTTTTCGTTGGACAGTAGGTGATAATGTAATATAATTCACTAAGAAGTCTACTTATTCATTTTGATGATTAATGTGTTGTGTCTTCGCCTTCTTTTGCATAAAATGGTGTACGTAGACCCTAAAAAAATTGTTTTCAAAATTGTTTTTGGCTAAACCCTAAAAACTCATACTTCCATACCCTATACTTCAAACCTAAACTATATCCTTTTTGGACCAAATATTCATGAAACTTTTAAATGTATACATTTTAATTAGTTTGTATTTTATATAAAGGACCATTGTATTTACTTAGTTTACTAACAAAAATTTGTTAGCAATTCTTTTTTTTTTTTTAAAAATTTTAAAATTTAAGATTTCGTAAGAGAGTGGACTTCATGAGTAGACTTTTCTCCAAATTTATAGGTTTGTGGCTTGCTTTGCCTTTGTTGTACTTAGGCTAATTCATTTTCAAGCAAATTATTTTCAAAAGATGCCAAATATCAATGTCTTTTTTTTATGTATAATTTTGTTGGTTTATATATTTATATTTAATTTTATAATTTAAATTTAAGATCTTAAAGCATTGTAGACTTCGGTTTGAAGTCTACTTTACGTAGACTTCTTCAGTAGACTTCACAACTGTGGGTAAAATGGTCATTGTGGCACTTGTTTATTGTTTGTTAGTAAAAGATAAAAATGTCATTTTACACCCATTGGGGTATACCGGTTGTCAAATGAGTCATATGAGGTATATACTGTTTTAAAAAAAAAATGTTTGGGTACATAAATGGTAATTCCCCCAATTTATTTTGTTGCTTGTTATGTTATTATATTTTTCCACCTTGGTGCTTTTTTATTTTTGGATAAAATTATTATTAGAAATTGTAAAAAATAACATTAATTTTTATTTTCATAAATGAAAGGATTTCTTATATATAACTATTTTTTAGTATTTATTTTCATAAACTTTTTCTATTATAACTTGATCATATCAATGAGCTTCTCTTCTTGTTTTGTTGTCCATCTCTTCTTTTCTTTATCCTAAATAAACTTTGTAGCGTCCTGTTTGTATTTTAGGCTTTGAATGGTAACAACGAATCTAGCGGTACGGGATAAAAAAAATAAGACGGGACAGGACGGTTTAACAGAAGTAACGTAATATGCAGAACAAGTGCGGTTTATAAAAAACAAGCGGTACGGAACAATGTTTGAATGGTAAAAATAATAAACATACGGTACAGAACAATGTTTGAATGGTGAAAAAAATTATTGTTGTGAAAAATACATATTTTCTATTAATATTTTTAAAATTTAATTTAGTTTAGAAATTTAAACTTTAGCTTGTGCTTTATATATTAGTTACTATATTTGAAAAAATTATATTAATTAAAAATATTGCTGTTTAATTAATAAACTTAAACTTGCTTGTTTAAATAAAAATTTAACAATAAATTAAAAACATGATAGATTACATTACAAAGCACTAGTTTTTATTCATCCATAACATATTTTTGCAATATGATCTCCGGATACGAGTTCTTCTTCCTCCATGTCAGCAAAATCAAATCAGGTTATGAAGTTGTGTTGTTTATTGTCGTCTCTGTCATCACTTCTGCAAAATCTGCATCTGAGAAATTTGAAATTTTGATAAAATTGTGTAATCCCATTGTTGCCATTACCACTCTCATTTGTACGTCAACACTGTATCTTGGAAAATCGGAAAGAATTCTCCATTTTTCTTCCATACTCCAAATGTTCTCTCGATAACAGAACGTAAAGACGCATGAATTCGATTAAACTATTCTTGTTTATTTCTTGGTGGAGGACCATAGTTGAATTGCGACATATGATACATCACTATTCCATGTCGTGATGATCTATATGGAGCCAAAAATCCTTGTCTATTTGGATAGCCAGAATCAACGACATAATATTTGTCTTGAGGAGGTAAAGGGAATTCAGAATCTTTTTCTTGCGCCATGGTCAAAACAGCTGTGTCATGACAAGATCCCAGCGCTCCATTCCATAGATTTGTGAATAACATATTCATATCACATATAGCCAGAATGTTTAAAGATGTGTTGTTGTGCCGATTCCAAAACATTCCTTGTAACTCTGGTTTAACTTTTACGCATACATGAGTTCCATCTATATCTCCAACAAATCCACTAAAATATGGATAATAATTTCGCTCGATCATAAGTCTATCAGGGATTCAGTACAACTCTTGTCTTGTTGGAGTTTTTATATAATCACATGCAACTAGTTCAGTCGCCGTAAGAACTTCACTAAATTTTCTCTTCACAGTCTCTTGTTTTCGTCCGAATCTTAATCCAACATCTCTTTGCACTTCGTTATGCCCACATATTCGTAGAAACATAGCTACACTTTCTTCTATGCTTATATGCATTGTTGGTTGTAGACCATAATTTGTTTGTAGACTATGACAGAGTGTGGTGAATGCTGCAAGTGACATTCGTAGTAACTGAAGACAAGCTGCATCATCTTGTTGTAGTCGACGCCAAATATTCCTCCATCCCAAACCTCTATTTTTTTGTTCGGGTGCTCGTTGAAAATAGCGATTATAGTACCTCAAAGTTGGCTGAATTATTAACTCATCAGACTGTGCATTTTCCAAATTCCAGAATTCAATTCTCTCTTCATAACTTAGACTACAAATGTCTTGTGATCGCAACTGGCATATACGAAAAGCCTGAAATTTAAAAAACACAATAGAAATGTCAATATTCATATATAAACTTATGATTTACTATTACAAAATATTGAAATAGACTACTAAATTATTCTCACACAAAAAACTACTAAATATATAAAAATATTTTAAAACATAAACAAATATGCTAAACATGATACAACTCAAAACTACTCTTCGTCTTCTGAATCACTTCGATCTCTTTGCGGGGTTCCCCAAATATTGAATAAGCCTCCTGGTTTATGTGTTTGTGAACTACGTCCAGTTTCAAAATAAATTGTGAAACCAAGATTCGACGATGATGTTTGTTGAGTGTGTGGTGAAGGTCCTACAGCTGCACCAGTCGTAACTTCTTCTTACGTTTTTCTCATAGTTTCTGTTTGATCCCCAACTGAAAATCCATATTGAAAATTTGTTGGTGTTGTTTCTGATGATCCACCTTGTTGAAAATTTGGGGTTTGGCGTCCTTGATTAAAGTTTGATGGCGCAGCCCATTGTTCAGTATTTGGTGAAAGATTCCATTGTGGAGCTGTTGGTGGTGTTCCCCATTGTTGGGAAGTTGGTTGTGTGCCCCATTGGAAAGCAGGTGGTTGTGTTCCCCATTGTTGTACAGAAGGTGGTGTACCCCATTGTTGACCAATTGGTGGTGAGCCCCATTGTTGAGCAGAAGGTGGTGTACCCCATTGTTGAGCAGAAGGTGGTGTGCCCCACTATTGACCAGATGGTGGTGTGCCCCATTGTTGAAAACCTGAACCCCATAAACCTCGACCTCCGGAGTTGTTACCTACAGAAGATGAACTGCTTGATTGTGGACTCCCAGATGATTGAATCGGGCCCAGGTGTTTTGGCACATCGTGGTTATTAAGTGAAACACCAGTCATAGCTTCTAAAAATTGTAGCTTCTCCTCGTCAGTGCCTCAACCTATATCTATAAAATACTTACGCCAAAATACCATCTCTTTCAGTGTATTAAGGCATGTCCAATAGAATGGGGTGTTCTTCGGAAGGTTAAGGGCACAGAATATAGCTTCAGCTTTTTTGAATTTATCGTAGTCATCTTGCTCAAAACCACCTAGACGAAGTTGTTGCAAACTTTGTCGTTGGAACTCTTGAAAGCCAGTAAAAGTGTCTTGAATGGTTGTTTCAAATGAATGTCTTCTAAGATTTGCGGTAGATCGGTTTGAACCACTTCCACGTTTAACAGTAGAGTGTGAACTACTCCCACGTCTACCACTAGATTGTGAATTGTTCCCACGTCTACTACGTTCCTCACTTCTCCCAGTGGAGGCACGTAATGTATCATTGAAGTCTATGTGTATATCATCATCCAGGTTAACACGATACACTTCTTCATTTTCTTCAGGTTCAGGTACATGAGGTTTTGGCATATCATCACCTTCAATATCTGAGTAACCATGCGTGGCATCATAAGCTCGTCTCTCGTTTAATATTTCTTCTCTTCTTTGTCGGGATGACTGTTGAGGTTGTGAATAAACATCATGTAATGCTAGACATTGTATCATGAGATCCCAAAACTGTGGTGGTTTTCGGTTGAACACCTTTGTTATTTTACATCCCTATAAAATATTATATATTTTTTATTTTTTTTAGTTAAAAAAATGTGTATATATTTGTTAATAATAGTAAATATAGTACAAAAATTATGTAATATTACCATTTCATGATTAGCCCACCATTCCTCGGATGCATCAATCATAGATGTTTCAGGATCAATCGAGATACCAATGCAATTCATGAGAAATTTCCATCTCTTGTATGCTTTTCTGAAATCATCAAGTTTGTTTTTGAAGAATGTATTGACTATATGAAAGTGAATTGTATTGTGTTGTATTGATATGATAAGGATTACAACTCTATATATAATAGAAATACAAGAATCATACAATAAATGAGATGAATATCTAATTGAGTGATTGTAGTGATTGTGAGTGCTCATGTATGTTTAGAATAGTACTCTTTCCTTAATACGCCCCCTCAACCTCAAGGCAGTGATGGAGTAAAATCGGAATCAACTGTTTGAGGTTGACCAATAATAGTTGCATGTTGCGGAGTGTGCTCATGGGAAAACTTAACGGCATAGATAATTTTGTTGACAAAGTGAATGTCGATGATGGTGAGATTCAGAATCTCTTGATAATGGTCTGTCGGAGATGTTGTTGTTGTTGGCGTTGAGAAGCATATATTGCTTGAGTTGAGAAGAGCGAGTCATTCTCTGATAGAATCTCATTGAGAAGAGCGAGTCAATTCTCAAAGAGATTGTGTTCTGCATAGTTGTGTGTGACACATAGAATTTCGTGTGTAACACATACAGAAAATGTTTCAGAGAGGTTCATGATGAACTTGAATTTGGAAGCACTTTGGCTTAAAGAAAACAAAATAAAACAAGAAAAGATAGTAAAACAGGAAGCTTGTAGCTTGATATGAAAGCATGTGATAAATTGAAGAAAACAAAAAGCAATATAGCTTGGTTTTGGAAGCATGTATGCTTAAAGAGAGAAAATAAAATAAATAGTTCATAAGAAAATGCAAAATAAAGTTTAGAAGAAAATGAGTTTGATCGTTAGATCATCGAAACTCGGAATCGAAATTTGCTCTGATACCATATTGACTATATGAAAGTGAATTGTATTGTGTTGTATTGATATGAGATATGATAAGGATTACAACTCTATATATAATAGAGATACAAGAATCATACAATAAATGAGATGAATATCTAATTGAGTGATTGTAGTGATTGTGAGTGCTCATGTATGTTTAGAATGGTACTCTTCCCTTAATATAACGTATATGTTATAGTTGAATTTTTCAACCATATATTCTCTACCAAGAAGAGTAGGATCTTTAAGTGTGTAATTATTCATGCCAATTGCATGATCATACAACTCGATCAATGTTTTCTCTTGTTCATAACTCCATTTAAATCTTGTATTCGACAAGTTATTGAAAACCTTAAATTAGTTTTTTCTTTTTTTAAACTATGACATTTCTTATAAAAATGGATAAAAATCTTTACCCTTGTTGTTGTTTCATTGGGAGTATTTCTGTTTCTTTCACCGTGAGCATTCGTGCCTCTTGCTCCGGAAGGATTTGTATTGTACAACGATTAGAGGACATATCTACACTCACTACAAGAAAAAAGTCATATTGCAACATAATTTTTGCAACAAATTTTGCAATTTTTTGGTAATGATATATAGACGTTGTAATTTTATAACAAAGTTGCAAAACTACAACAAATTTTTTTGTTGCACACTATCATTGCCAATTTGCGACTTTTTTATGACTCATAAAAATCTCTTGCAAAATCTGCAAGAAACATTCAACAAAAGCTAATCGTGACAATTTTGCAAGAAAATCGAATAAAAATATGTGACAAACTATGTGACACATTTGCCACTATGCTTGCAACATTTTAATAACTCTTTTGCAACATTTACGTTCTACACAAAATGATATATATTATCTTCTTTTAGAATAAAAAAAATGGATTAAAAGTAGAAAATTGAATGATATATCTATGTGATGTTTCTTTGAAAACATAATTAAAATAAAAGTTATTTTAAGAGAAATATGTAACGTTTTCTTATCTAAACAATATAATAATTTAATGATTCATGGAAATACAAAATATTAACAGGAAAAAAAAGAAAAGATACCACTTCACTAACTCTTCGACTTCCTTTTTAATTGAGTTGATTTGTCGCTGCATCTTCTTCTAAAACAGTAATATTAATTATTAAGATAACACTTATTTTATCAGTAATAAATTATGTTTAATTTTAAAATATCTCATTTATTATAGTTTTGTATTATCTACTTTAGCATTTAAATTTTCTTTGATAAATAAATTTTATCTATTTAAATGTTTTAGCATTTAAATTTTTATAATATAAAATAACTGGTTTAAAATATATTACTTGTTATATTTGTTGTTTCTTAATAATATAACTAAATATATAAAAACTTCAATTTTTTTTTTAAAAATTAGTGCATTTAGTAATGCATAATTTTCGTTGAAAATACAATTTTTATTAAAAAGTATAATTTATAGTCATAGTATCATACTATAATATTAATTAAATTCTCATAGTAAATTACTATTGAATGTCAATTAACTAATATTTAATAAATACATACATATTTATATTACAATTAACTAATATTGGTGATCAATGATTTAAAAACAAATTGTCTATATCTTATCTTAAATATATAAAATATTAAACTAATTACAGTTTATATAGAACTATATGCATATTTATATAATTATGTTAGCTAAATGGTTTAAAAAAAAATAACCTCTTTGTTTGTGATGAAAATTCTTGAACGAAAATGGAAGAGGAAGTGTTGAACGAAAATTCTTGAACGAAAATATACCACCTTTACTTGTGATGAAAAAAATATATCTCTTTTTAGAATGTTGTTGAAATGAGAGTGAGGAAGAGAAAGTGTTGCATGTATTCCAAACCCTTACTTTGCTCTTTATAAAGGAAAAATGGCTGACATGATTTTGTATGCTATTGGACCAAGAAAAAAAATTATTTTATATATATGTTTACAGAAAAGTGAAAATGCCTATTGGACCTCTCCATTTTCGGTGTAGGTGCGTTTCAGACTTTACTGCACTTTACTGCACCTCTTATTAATTTTCCTTCCATTTTTTTTTATTTTTCTTTTATTAAAAATTGTAAAGTTGTTTTTGTGTGTGAATGGTGTACATTTTTCTTCCCGCCCATAGTTTTACCTGAAACGCATTATTCATTCAAAGCCTTAGACTTTTAGCTTTCCATTCTTTATAAAGGTGACTATATGTTCTTCTTCTGCACGCAGACATTTCTAAGTATAAACAAAAATATAGTAATAAGAGTATGTAGAACACAACATTGAAGAAACTAATAACATTTTAATGGAGAAGTAGAGAAGTTAAGTATTGGTTTTTCTAAATTTTAAGTCAAAATTAAAGAGAAATTTGATGTAGTTTTGGTTGTTGCAGTATTTATATATATATATATATATATATATATATATATGTGTTTGATTTTGAAAATAATTTAACATTCTGGATTTATTATAAGCCAATTTATCAATTAAATAACCCTTAATTAATTAAGTCCGAATTAAACCATTTAACCAAAACCAAACCGAAATTAATTAAATTAAACCGAATTAAATCAATTTCATATTATACCGAAATTAAAATCAATTTAAACCGGTCCAAACCGATTGGTGTTGAGCGACACTCGCTTGGTGTCGGTCGACACCGACCACTTTGTGTCGACCGACACGCGTCCGACGGGGTCAACAACGATAGCAAGAAAACAGCACAGAAAAACACAGAATTCAACATAAAATCAACCAAACATCACGAAATCACACACATAATTCATATACTCCTCATGAACAACAACCAATAAAATCCGGATCTAGCAACTGCGAGCCTACAATCATGCACTCACCTCTCAAACGCTGGAAAAAGGGGAAAATGAGATGATAGAGGAAGAACACGACGAACATCACTTCAGATTGACCCCAAAACTCGGATTCGAACAGGAACAGACGGCTGCTTCTCTTTTAAAACGAAAATCAGGGTTTCCAAGCCTTAACCAGCTTAACCGGAAATCAATTCAAATAAATTGAACCGGAATTGGATTTTAACCATTGGTGTCAACCGACACCCTTCCTGCTGTCGCCAGACACCAAAAAAAAAATCACAATACTTTGGTCTACGGATGTTACACATCTAAGCTTATCATCAACCCTAAGTGTTCCGAGGCAGAAGCTTTCATGCATGGGTTAGTAATATGTTTTAATTTTTTTAAAAATAGGTTTGTCTTTGGCACAATATACATCTAAGACTAACCTATTAGACGATACTACAATTTGCCAGATGATGGTGCGATTATTGTCATCAAAGATGATGATACAGAGGGTAAAGGAGAAGGAAGAAGAGTGGCTGGCGTTGGAGACGGAATCGGTATATGACATTCAAAATGCTACCAAGGTAAATACTATGATGTACTTATATGTATTCTTTGAGCATACTTCTGAAGAGAATGATTTACTTACCTTAAAAATATTATCCCCTGACAGGTTGAGAAATTCAAGATTTGCTGCAAAGTTTATGGAATAGATACGGACTGGGGTTGGTACTATTTCGGATGTGGAAAGTGTCACCACAGAGTCACCAAAGGTCTGAAGAAGGAAGCATCCACCAAACCGCGCCCCAAAGTACCTATATGGTACTGCGACAGATGCAAAACAAATGTCCAAAACATGGCAGAAAAATGAGTAGTTCTAATAAATTTTGTCATCCGAATTTGATACTACGTATATGAGATACTGTAAGTATTTCAATAACATAGAATATTGACATGTACAGGTTCAAGCTGCACCTTCTCGTTGAGGATGATTCAGCGAAAACAAAGTTTATGTTGCTTGATACAGTTGCAGCCGGGATCGTGACAAAGACAACATCCTTCGTGCTAAACGGATCCTACGATGAGGTAATATCATAATCTGAAGCTATCAAATATAGTTTTGAACATTTTCTTATCTAAGCCAGAAGCGTATCTGTTATTTCAAAAGAGATTCATGATCCAGAATTATAACCTGATGCCATCAAGAGCTTAGTGGGAAACAGCTACAAGTTTCTGGTCGGTGTTGAGAAGGAACACATTCATTACCGAAATGACACTTACAAGGCGCACAAAGTAAGGAAAGGACTTCTCATTCTCGATGCAGAATCTGCTAATGAACAAATGGTTCAACCATTGGGTCTTACGAGGAGGAAAACACACTATGTTGTCTTACATTCATGCTACCCTCAGTAATTGAGATTGAGTTGAACACAATGATTAACTTTTGTACCTTTTCTTAACCTTTGTATTAGTTTTCTGTTGTCAAGAGTAACAGCCATAGCATTTCAGATGATGGTTCAACTCCATCTTTCAAGCGTGGCTTTGAATCAATGCAAAGTGTCCCAACCCTGTCTTCCACTTCGAAAAAACATTGCACAAAGACTAACTACCCAGCATTCCGTCTTAAATCCAAGTGAAGCATTTGCTCCAGAAGTTGAAAGAATAATTCATTAAGGAAAGCATGCAGAAGAGAGTCTCCAAAATTTATTTGCTTCTAATAAAGATCGAACTATGTGTTCTCCATGTTTTTTTATTATGCTAGACAATTATTTTCCTATTTATATTATTTGGTTTTGTGACACTTTATTTTATAATGGAGCTTTATGTTTTACATTATTTTCTTTTAACGATATTTTTCTACACAAATTGTGTAAGCATTTTTCAAATCATTTCAAAGATGAACAACTATCAACACACAAATATAAACTGGTTCAAATTGACTAACATACAGTACGTACATGATACTAGCGAATATCATAAAGTACGGTATGCTGTGATACCAAAAAGACAAAGTACATAAAAACATCTTAATGTTGTATATTCTAGAACCTAAAAATATATAACACATAAAACAGTGTAAATAATTCGATATAGAAATGTAAAGCTATGATATCCAATTATTTAGCAAAAGGACAGGTCATATGAAAATAGGAAAATAAACTATTTGATAGTAAAATTATAGATATATGGTATGTATAATTCAAAGTTGGAGATTCTTTTTAAGTTGAGTTTGCATACAACAACAGCTTTCAGACGAGTATTGACATGGCTCCATTTGTGGCTTTGTATGGGAGGCCACGTAGGACACCCCTATGCTAGACCCAAGTGGGGGAGCGTAGCATGTATGGAGCTACTTATGTTCAGGAGACGACGGAGAAGGTCCGTGTTGTGAGGCTGAACATGAAGGAGGCTCAGGATAGACAGAAGAGTTATGCAGATAGACGCAGACCAGAGCTTGAGTTTCAGGTGGGAGATAGAGTGTATCTCAAGATGGTTATGTTGAGAGGTCCTAACAGATCCATAACATAGAACAAGCTGAGTCCGCGTTTTATGGGGCCATTTCCGGTAGTGGAGAGGTCCTAACAGATCCATAAAAGGTTTCGAGGAACAAGAGGATTCTCTTACTGAGAATTTTGTGGGATTGCAGTGGTTCTACATAGGAGACTTGGGAGCCAGAGGCAAAGATGAAGTTGAAGTTCAGGAAGTGGTTCGACAAGCAGGTGGAGGAGTGAGCATATTTCATCTTTTGTAGCCTCAGTTGTTGTTTTTGGCTTTGGTGTTATTGTATTTTCGTTTTCGTTATAACGATATACATTTTGGAGTTTAATGAGATGCAGTTTTTTCTCATTTGACCTTGTGTTGTTAAGTGGTGTTTCAGATGTAACATGTATTTAACCAGTTTTGGTTGTGAAACGGTCTAATCTTATTGTTATAGACGTTTTCCAGAATTTTTACTCTGAAGATTGTGATTCTGAATAACTCATCATGGTTTTGGGAGACTTTGGTTCTCTGGCAGACTCTCTAGGTGCAAGTAGGCCTTAGTTGAGTGTAGCTTATCTGGATGCAAGTAGACCTCAGTATAAGCGGTTTCGGGTTCGTCTGGGTGCAAGTGGGTCTCAGTGCGGACCGGTGTGAACTTGTCTGGGTGCAAATGTGCCTAAGTACATGTGGTTTTGTGTGTTTTGGATGATGAGTTAGGAGTGAAAATGTCTTGGAACGTTATTATGACATAGGATTTGTCGTATGTCTCAGGATCAGGTGAGGATCTCCAGTGTTGCGGCCTTGCGAGGTCGGGTTTTGTGGTCTTTGTGACGTTTGGAGTTGGGATTTGAGGTCGAATCCAGTTTAGCGGGGGAGAGTTGTAACATTCGTAGACCTTTTTTCTGGAATTTTAGAGGTTGTGTCGGACGACGCAAAGTGTGCGTTGGTCGACGCAACAATTTCAAAATCGGACACGATTTAATTTAAGTTGGTTTGGACCGGTTTGGGGGTCTGGGAAGCCCTGATTCGCGATTTAAAAGAGCCAGCCGCCTTCTCTTGGAATCTTTTGTCGTTTTGCGAACCAGAGAAGGGAGAAGAGGCGATTTTGGGTGTTCTTGGCCGAGTGGTGATCGATTCGTGGCCGATTTGGTGTTGTTCTTCCCTGTTTCAATCTTCCTTTCCCTGTTTCTAGCCAAATCAAATCAAGGTGAGTGCATGATTGTGGGTTCGTAATTCACTAGATATGGATTGTTTGGTTGTTGTTCATGAGTTGTTCATGAGGTTTATGTGTGTGTTCGTGATATTTGGTTGTTTGGGTGCTTAATTTGGTGTTTTTGCGTTGTTTTGTGAGTTCAGTGTTGATCTGACGGACATGCGTCAAGTGAGGCAAAGCTTGTTCGATGCAGCCGGTTCAGTCCGATTCAATTGGAAATTGATTTCTGGTTCAAATTAAGTGAATTCGGTTTAATAAAATTAATTTAATTGGTTTAATTGAATTAATTCCTGGTTTGGTGTGGTTAATTGGTATTTTTGGATTTAACTAATTAATGAGTACTCATAAATTAATTAATTGGTTTAAAATAATTATATTATGGAATTTTTTTTGTTAAATTATGGGAATTATTTAATAATGAGAAATAATATTTTAATAATTATTGAAGTTATAATAATTATTTTAATTGCTAATAAATTGCGTAACTGACATGTAGGCACGGTGATTGCCTCAATAAGTATTTATGAAATACTTGTGCAATTCTATCGCAATGTGGTGCAGGTAAAAGGTTTATGTGATCGCGGAATCGAGCCTGAAGAGGGATGATATGATTTAACTGTTTTGCTTTTATTTAAACTGTTAGCACGTGGTGTTTAGGTTGCTAGTTCTATTTAATTGTTTTTGCTTCTTCTGAATGATATTGTTATTTGATTTAAAATCTATTTAATTTATTTTAAAGATTTTTGCTAGACTTATTCGGATTTAATAATAATAAATAATATATATGTTGGTTGTTTCACCAATAAAAAAAACTAAACCACACACCGGTTATTTTGTACTATTCATAACCAAAGCTTAGATATTTTCCTTGCAAAAGTGACGAAAGTCTAGTCGCTTTTGACTCGTTTTGCATGAATGTCCAAATTTTATACAAGAACTTCAATTGAAATCGACTAACTTTTTTTGTTTGGTAAAAACAAATCCACTAACTTGGTGTTAAAAAAAAGGACAAAAGGCTGTGTCTAGCTTCTAGGGCTCGAAGTGGCAAAAAAACAAGTGAATGTCAACAATTAACTCACATTTGGTGAGAGAGAGACAGACGCAAGTGAAAATATGACAGCTCTTACGATGTAACATGTGAACTGGGTTTCGTTTTGGAATGATATATGAGAATTTGCATTATCACATCATTATTACTATAGTCTATTTTTTAAGAATTTTAGATGGACCCATGAAACTAAAGTAACGGAGAAAAGTTCTTCAACAATTTGAGGCTGAATTTATGAAAAAGCAGACCACGCTGAAGCAAGATTTTCTTTAAAAAACTCTTCTCTTATACTCATTTATTCATCTATAAATTTCAACAAGACAAATCTCAATTTGTCTCGTAACGATTTAACGACAAACTCATCAGCTGTGGTTTTTACCCATCATCAAGACTTTCTTGAATCAGAAACAACCAATTCAGAATCCGATTCAGAACTCTCCCTAAACTTCTTGTAAATATCACCTTTGTAAAACTCCCTCGTCCTTATCGCTAATCCCAAAGCCACAACCGCACCAAAGAAAGTCACAGCAGCCAAAATCACAAACGGCAGCTTATAACATTGACTTCCTAAGCAAGTCAAGTCCTTAACATCTTTTCTCGTTAGCCCACGAGCTGTTAACTGCTTCATGGCCTCTCTATCGTAGAGCATTCCCGTGACACGAACGTTCAAGATGTAAGAACCGAGCGGGCTAGCGAGCTGACCACAGTTGAACAATGTAGAGTAGTACTTGAGTCCAAATAGCTCGGAGATGATAGCAAAGAGCAAAGGAAGCTGCGCGCCGAACGAGAATCCCATTAGAATGGAGGCTATGTACACCGAGCCAGGTACTGGGAACGCGATGAGAAGGTGACCCGCGCAGCTTAACAAGAGGACTAGTGTCATCATGAGCGGTCTTGGCAGCTTATACTTGGCAAGCAAGTATTCCGAGACAAAACCCGAGAAAACTCGACCGAAGTAGTTCCATATGCTGACTAGAGACACAAAGGAGCTCACCGTGTGGTTCGGATAGCCGAGTGACTCTCCGATCTGTCCTAGGTTGTCTACGGCGGTTAAACTCGATCCTAAACCGCAGAAAGTCGCGACGAAAAGGATGATCATGTCGATGCTGAACAATGCTTGTAGTATTGTGTAATCTTCTCCTCTTGACGGTGGAGAAAACACAGTCAAGAAACAAGATTTCGACTCTTTCTCTTCTTGATCCGCCTTTGCGGTTTTGTCCTGAACAAGATCAACTTCTTTCTTTGGTTTCTCAATCTTGACCTCGCTAGGCTCTTTGACAGGCAACTTTTTCATGTTCCACACATCGATCTCTTGCTTAACCGCAACCGTTAGAGGCACAAAGAGCAGAACACAGCAGATGGTAGCGCTTGCCGTGTAAGCGGCTTTCGTGAAGTGAACTTGCTTCTCAGCGATGTTCATAGCCATCAAGAACAGAGCCAAGAATATAGAGAGGTAAAGAAAGTTGTAAAACACGCTTAACTCATTCCTCTGCCTCACAACTTTCTTCTCTCTTATCGAATACACAAACACAAGCGAGACCACAGCAGGTAACCATGCTATCAACAGGATCAAAGACTTTGAGTCGTTACCATAAATCGCCAAGTAAAGCTGCGTCATGATCGCTCCGCTTAAACCAACGTAACCTTTGAGCAAACCAAGCATAACTCCTCTGCTCTCAGGGAAGTTTTTAACACAAGTAACCAAAGCTCCTGTGTTTGCGAAATTCTGAGAGTTAGCTCCGATGCAAATGTAGAGACACATTTGCCAAACCTTTGGTTTTGCGACTTTGCCAGTAACGGTGAGCCAGATCATGAAGTAACCGACGAAGTTCATTGCTGATCCGATGGTGAGGACGAACCATGTCGGTGTGACTTCGGCTATGAGTCCGGACATGACACCGACATTTGCTCCGAGATCTTTAAAGAAGCCCAACAAGTTTAACGTTGTCTGGTCGTAACCGAGTGTAGACTTGATGTCTTTAGAGTAAGTACCAAAGAGATATGTGGCTCCAGCGCAAGCCATGATGAGGAAAGAAGCGAACACCATGAACCATCTTCCATTGAATAGATGAATCAAGAATCTCACTTTCTCGTTGTCGTTTCCCATTTTGGAAAAACAGAGTAGTGAAGGTGTGTAATCGAGAGATCTGTTTGGATTTGAGAATCTTGGAGAAGATTTGAGTATTTCAAGATTTTCTTGATTGAGAATTTGAGAAACAAACCAGGGTAGATCTGTGTTAATGCAGGAAGAGAGTCTTCAGGGCTATAAAGTAGAACAGAAGAATAGGGCAATTTGTAATGTATTGAAGAGAGAGTCAATTGTCGGAAAGTTTGTGAAGGTAGATCCACCATTTGCTATCGAAGCCAAGAAAAAAAATATATAAAGATTGACTGTATTATCTGTCTTTTCTAATTTTGTCGGATGCAAATTACTGTCACAGGATAAGGATGTATTAACATTTGTTAGATATCTAATATCTTTTTATCTTTAGTCAGTGGTTTCTAGCAGATAAAATTAGAAGAAAGAAAAAGCAGATATTTATAATTTTAACACTAACATGACAGATTAATTGGTCAATGAATCAGTTTAAGAGTATGACTGGTTTAACCGCTGCGGTTATGGGTGCGCGAGTTTGCGGAAGCGGGCGATTATGATTAGTAAAGCGGTTTATACGACTGTATAACAATTGAAAATGGATGCGTTTGCGGGATACTTATGACTGGTTCACTTGCGGATGCAATAGCGGTTAAACAATAAATTAATAATATAAACACATTATATAATTATAAAAATATCAAAACTATATTATAATGAAAATTTTAAATTTATGGTTCAATATAATTAAAAATAATTTTTTATAAAGAATAATACTTACGTCTATCTTTTAATTTCTATAATTTAAATAAAAATGTGATTTTATTTTCAAAATATATATTTAATGTGAAAATTAAATTTATATTACAATTTTATTTATTAGATATATATGTATTACTATGAAAAGAATATTTATCAAGAGAATTTTGATTTGTAGAACTTATAAATATATAAGTATGATATGATTTTAATGAATATTGACTAAAAGTACTAATTTTTTTTATTTATATTGTGATTTTATTATCCAAATCTTATTTTTTAATAAAGATTATTATTTATTTTCGGATTTTATATAAGTTTGTGTTTTTTTTTTTTTTTAATATCCACCCACAACCGCCGCAACCGCAAACGCTGTTGGGAAGGAGCTTTTGATTTTGAGGGTTGTTGAGGGATCTTGAGCGATTTAAAGCGGTATAAAGCGTTTGTGGTGATTGTTGTCAAAATCCAATAACCACTACTACCCGCAAATGCAACATTTGCAGATAGTAGCGAATGACTCAATCAGCACCTAAGTTGAATTATCTGATAAATTGACTTTTTTGTTACATGTGGAGGCTGACAATTAGTAAAAGAGTATCCACATTTATCTTTTTTTAATAACTAGGAAGTAACCTTTCTGATTTAAACCCGACTAATTCTCACATAGTGAATGCAGCCGTCCAATAGCCCAAAAACTAATCTTTCCATGGTGAATGTATGTTATACCTCTATTTTACATACTTTTTATGCTATTTTACTATGGTTTTCTAATGGTTTTCTAGTGGATTCTTGTGTTAAAAGGTAGTTTTTATGGATTTATACTGCAAAGAGTCATTTTAGGTAAAAAGGTGCATTATGGAGCAAAACAGAGGATTTGGACTTCAAACCAGTCAATGCCACTGCATCAACTTTGGATGGAGCTAGAAAAAGATCTACTCAATGGATTTCATCAAGACCAGTTCCCTGCGTGCTCTGATTGAGTTAACTTTCCAACGCAAGTGGAACGGCCTCATTTGGATGAGTAGAAAAGGAGTTATAGCCAAAAGAGTGAAGACTGTCCAGACGGCTCTATCGAGAATCACGGCCAAGCCGTGCAGAGCAGCCGGCCGAGGAACGAATGTTCCGCGCTCGGCCAAAATCATCCGTCCGTCTGAAGTCTCGGCCAAAGTTCGTCTCCGGCCGATCACATCACGACCCGGGAAACAATGTCCCGCGGTCGGCCAAGCCACGACCACTCACGACAGCCGCCACGACCATGCCGCGCGAGCCGGGAACAACGCCTCGCGGCCGCGCACAACTCGTGTACCACGGCCGATGTCCGTCCGAGCCGGGAAGACGTCCCGCGTCCGGCCGAGAAACCATCGGCCAATTTCATCCGTCCGACCACAGCCGGCCGACCGAAACTCCGGCCACGACCGTTCCGATCACCCACGACCCGACTGTCCGGCCGACCGTCCCGACCGACCGTCCGAACGCCGCGGTCGACCCGAAGCCGTTTTTGAAGCCCAATCCGCACAATTCAAGCCCAAAGCCGGCGCCGACCTAGCTAGATTAGGTCTAGCCGCTTTTTCATACTTAGTGCATTATAAATACTTCTTTTTAGCCTTGTAACTCAAGAAGGAGAGAGACCACAATTATACTTTACATCTTTAATAAAGTTTTGCTTGCTTTTACTTTGTTCTTGCTTGTTCTCTTTCTAGAGAGGATTCGAATCTCTGTTCTTATGAATATGAATTCGTGTTCCTTCTCTATGTCTGAGTAGTTTACTTGTTAAGTGATAGGAAGTCAAAGGATAGCATTCATGTATGCTTGATGATTGATCACAATTAGGGTTTTACTTATAATCTCCATCTTTGCTTATACTTAATGCTTGTTGTTAATCTGGCCAATTAGCATATGCTTGGTTGATTTGAGCCTCGACAGTGCTGTATCATTCGCCTGAACTAGTATTTGGTGGGCAACCTCTTTTAGACTGCGAAAGTTGATTTACTTGTAGGTTGTGAACAATTGAACTTAATCGAACTAATGCTTGATTTAATCACCTAGGGACATACCAAAAGTTTAGCGACTAGGTAGATTAACAAAGGGGTCGGAGCCTCGACAGTGGAATGATCATACCATAGTGTTTCAAGTTCTAGATTGGCACCTAATTGCAGTAACCCTAATTGATTGATTTCATGCTTCTTGAATTGCTTATCTTAAGACTATCCTATTGCTTAGCCCTTTCTCTCCTATTGATTTCACTCTTTATTACTTGCATGCTTTACTTTCTCTGCACTCAACCAACTTATACTTTTGCCCTAGCTCGATCTCAATCATAGTTGTAGTGTGCAATCTGGTCCTCGTGTTCGATACCCGTTTACTACTTCTGACCTGTGCACTTGCAGAATCAGGGATAGGAAAGGGGAAGACCTGATCCCGCGATCAATGTAACATTTAGGGGATTTGGTAATTGGTGTCATGATATGGCAACAGTTAGAGTTGTAAACTAAAAATTCTAAATTCTAAATATTGCAAAAATTTAGAATATATAACTAAGTGGTTGTGGTTTCTACTTGACAGAGAAGTTGCCTTGTTGGTTTAGGCATGTGTTCGAAAAATTGTTGAATGCAGAACCACTGAGATTAGTGGTGATCGCAATTTCTAACAGTGGCCATGTCCTCGTCCGGCACTTCCGGTGGTGCCTAACTGATCGGAGATTTTTCGAGAAGAGTACCAGATGACGACATCGATTTGGACACAAGTGATGGAATATTGCTGAGTGATGAGCTGCATCTAAGGGATGAGTACAAGTAATAATTCCCTAAGACAACTAGTGTTGCAAGTGCACAACATATAATTGTAGTATTTAGGGGTCGAACCACAAGGGATTGGATTTCACACATTACATAATCATAGAGTTTAAATGACTAAGCTAAATCAAAAGATGCAAGGGTTTGTGTTTGTTTAGAACACGCAAAAGAAATAACAATGCAATTCTATACAAGCAACATTATTGAACTATTGAAAACTCTTTTGAAAACATGAGCCAAGTCGATTGAAAAGTTTGTTAAAATCCGATTCTTTTGAACTCAAAACACTAAGGAAGGATTATTCCACTTTCGTGGTTCCAATCCCCTATGTCTCTTAAACCAATGGGCTCAGCTTTCGTTGGTCATTGTAGAGTGAGACATGCATTACATCCAAGTAATGATTGTTCACAAAACTCTTTAGGTCTACTTTCGTAGCCTAAAACGATTTGCCCATCAAATATTGTGTCCGGAGATATAACAAGCTTTTGGAGAGTATATCAACCTAAAATCAAGTCACTAGTTAGCTACTCTAGCAACAAGCATTAAGCATAAATAAAGATGGAGAACCATAGGGTTTCCCCTTTTAACAATCGATTCAAGATGGCCATTATATCACGTCCTCATTGGAAGGATCCATAATTCAACAATGAGTCTTAGATAGTAGATGAAGTCTCATGAATCCTTAGAGAGAGAGGCGGCGGAATATAGACTAAACCACGCCTCACCCTTAGGGAGAAATCTCTACTTCTAGACTATATAAATTGAAACATGCAAGCTATAACTTTATTGAATAAATGTTTCTTGTTATGCGGCTGGTGATTCTTATTACAAGAGGCTAAAAGCAAGTATATATAGGTAGAGAGCGGGTCTAGGTCGGCAAAGTTGAGCGCGCGCAGAAGAGGAAAGTTTCCATTTCTCTTTAGCCGCTTGAGCTTGCTCTCCAAGTTCTTGAATGGGCCGCGTTCAGGCCAATGGAAGCTTCTGGATTGAGTTATGCTAGTGTCAAGATGAGCCAAGGCCTTGGGCGCGGTATCTCGGGCCTCTTGATCCATCAAAGTCTCCATGGGCTCTACTTAGGCGCTCGTCGGACATGTCTTGGTAGAAAATAAGTTCCGGTCCAACGAGTGATCCAAATGACCTCTTTCCACTTCGCCGCGGGTCATGACTCAAATATCTATCTTTCCATATAAGAATCATGACTTTTGGACGTCGGGAAGGCATGAATATGCGGTCGTACTTCGGATGCTCCGGTTTGGTCTTTAGCGAGAAATGTAGATTTGGTGCTCTAGACTTGGGAACTTGGTGATTTGACTCTTTTTGCTCCATTTTGACTCTTCTTTGCTATTTTGACCTGAATGATGCTCAAAACCAGAATATACAAGAAAACTACCTCTTGGGCTAAAAACCACATTATTTGTATTAAAAACATAGTGAAAACCTTGATAAAAACATGAAAGATAT